GGCCCACTAGGGCTGGAGCTCCAAACCTCTGAGGGTGCAAATCCCTTTGGGTTCTTTTTGTAAAAGTTTTCCCTAACTATACATACTTGTATACCAGTAGGGGTGTCCTTAGAAGAGAGAGTCCTTTAAAGACACACACATACAAATGTGCACATTTGCCCTGTGGGCCTGAGCTTTAGATCTTTTTGTCTGGGTGTCTTTTGTCTTTTTTTCTCCTCAGTTTGTTTGGTACTTCATTAGTTACCAGGAAAGATACAGACAGTATAAGCAAATAAACAATGTCAGGATTTGGCCTTCTGAAGTATTTTAAGCTGCAATTAAAATGGAAATGGCCTTCTTAGTGGTGGCATCCAACTGTAGAATGTTCTCATGTGTAAAGCTTGCCTGGTGCTTGCTTTAGTGTGATTTCAGACTCAGACAGTGCCCTTTTTATTTTCCCAAGTCTTTTAATTGTATGCACCTGCTTTTTACTCGGCTGGTAGAGTGCATGCTTTTATGTTGCTTTTATAGATTTTGCTGCTTTTAGTGCACTTTTGGTTTTGGTTTCAATTTATTTCAAAAACTTGACTTGATATTTTGTGAACCATGTGAGCATTTGATCAGGGTTGGAGGCTATCTCCTCAATAATAAATATATGAATCAAGGCCATGTCTTGGAAAATGCACTGTCCATCTTTACCCATGTCTCTTTGCTTTCTGACGTATAGAGTGGTGGGGTGCAGGTCCGTTGCAGTCTGAGCTTGTGGATGAGGCAGATGGAGCCTTCAGTCATCCAGGTTTTTGCCCCTGCCCAGCAGTGACAAAAGGAAAAAACATTTCCTTTGTATGGGCGTGACCTATTTTTCTGAGTCATGTGAATTTGCAGAGCATTTTTAAAAACTTTTGGGGGGATAACTGCTAACTGCATTAACTAATACATATTTGTATAAGAGGGCATTAGCACTGATGCACACTTTTAAAATTCAATTCTGATTCTGTCAGTAAGCATAACAGTGGCACAAAAGATGCCTGACAATCCATGAAACAAAGGCAAATGATTTTTAAAAAATCTGTACTTCTCTAGCTGGGCAATGGGGCTATCTCTGTTCTGCTGCAGATCAGATCAAAGCCCTTTCCCTTGCCCAGGTCTGGAGGGGGTGGTTATTTCAGCACTGGAACAAGAAGAATACCTTCCCTTTAGCATAAGCTGCATGGTTCACCTGAGATGGTGGGGCTGAAAAGGGTATCTGTGCCGAAAGGTGGGTGGGGGCACTTGGTAGCAGTTGTTCTATCCATATTGGGCAGTGACCTGCTCCCTGTAAGCATGCCCCCCCTCTGCTCCCATGCCCCAGACCAGGGCCAACGTGACCTCTGGCTGAAACTGATTCCACACATGTTATAGCCCGACGGACCCAACAGAGATGTGACCCTCCCCAACCACTCCATATAGCAGTGTATGTGTCCAGTCCAGTCCAAAGTGAACTGCAAGGGTGGAGAGAGAATGTCAGATTGCCAGCCATAACACTGTTTCCTAGTGGTATTTTAATTTACTAAGGCCTGATCGGTGAGTCAATCTTGAACTGTAGGAACAAGAAGATGCCCCTCTTAACACCTTACTGGTGAGGTATTGCCTGGGTTTAAACAATGCAATAACCCAGACTCAGGTGTTGTGTATGGGTTGAGTGAGGTTGTCACTGAACCATACATTATTGAAACGTAAGTTATCCCATTGTCTGAACTAGCAATGTGTGAGAAAAATTGTTTGCCCGTGGGACTCTGTCGGATTTCCTTGGCTCGGCTCCCTGTTTTCTCTCTGCTTTCTCACTGCCCTGAGTCTGTTTTACTCCAAGCATTCATGTGGGCATCTGGGAGGAAGTGAGTCCAAGCAAGTCCACAAACCCAGTGTGTGCATACACTGCCTGTGCACGTGCAGTGCAAGCAGAGTTTGGTTTCCACACACGACTTGCAGCCTTTGCATACTTAGGGTATTCTGAGGAAAGAATTGTGTGCTTTGCATACCTTGCTCAAAGAAGTGTCCACTAGTAATCCTGAGCATTTATGGTCTTGGTCTCAGCTCAGCTCACTTCCTGCCTAAGGCTCGGCATGGGAAAGAAGTTGGGCTAGTGCAAGAGAGCTGGATTCTGGCTAAATCTCTGCATTCCCAGTATGAACCCAGCCAAGACAACAAACCAGCAGTGAATAACCCGCTGTTCACAGCCAAACCATGCATTCTCTTCATGGGTTTTTGATAGTTAATGAACCACGGTTCTCTAGCATGGCTGGGTTCAGACAATATGATAATTCATTCTTCAGCAACGACCTCTACTGCAACAACACCATGATGATTACATGATGTTAATTACATAATTTGCCTGTTAATGCCAGCCATTTCATTCATAATTGCTAGTCCAGAAGGACTGATCTGGCTTGAAGCCCTGCTCTGTCTCTCTCTCCCTCCTTTCCTCTCCATGGTTGGGTTGGGACAGTTCTATTCATCCACTCCAGTTTTTTGCATTGGGAGGAAAAAAAGCCCCATTCAGTTCAGTCAGAGTTTTCTCCTCCTTCCTCCAATCCATGTCAATTGCAGGTACAAGTAGGGGACAAAGGATTTAAGCCCTCTTATTGCCAGCCCCACACTGGGCCAGCCAGCTGACAATTTGTGAATGAAAAAGTTTGCACTGAAGAGCAAATGACATGTGCTTTGCCTACAACCCAAGCTGAATCTTGGGTTCAACTTTGGCATCTCCAGTGCAAAGGACCAGCCAGCAGCTGAGGAGAGGAGACTTCTTCCAGAGATCCTGAAGACCTCTGCCAGGCAGACTGGATGCAGGGCACTTTCCTATGGTCTTGTGAGAAGGATGGATGCCAGCCTCAAGTCATCATTCCTTCCAAGTTGAGGCTGTGGTATATTTAAAAAGATCCAGTTGTTCCAGGTCAGATCTCCTATCCTATGAATATTAGTTCTCATACAGGAATGTTTCAATAAGGGCATAATTTTAATCATAACATCTGGGACAATTCTTGAAACAGTCTTGGTTGGCTTTGTACAGAAAGTGCCTGCAAGTTTTTCCAAGGTATAGATTATGAAATAAGCATTTACTTTCAATCCTTCTCTAGACTAGGGAAGGCATAGAGAAAGGGACTAGGGATTTTTTTTTTACTTACTCTTTGACTGAGTATGTACTGTGTATGGTTTGTTATTTTTTGATAGAAAGGAGGTTGTATAACTATGTTGTTCCCCCTCCTTTTTTCAGTCTTTGTTGCTGTAATAATAAATCATCTCAGGATACAGACATTTTAAAACGTTAAAGGAATGAATAAATAATCCTAAGGATGCATTCAACCTGTTGCCAAAAGAGGCCAATGTAAGCAGATGGGTATCCTTGCGCACTGCTAGATGGGAGCTTTAGGCAATATTCAATTTTTTGCCCAACTGTTTGTGAATCATCTCTGGCAGATGGGGAAGCTGTTCTGGGAGCAAAGAGGCTGTGCAACCCAGGGTAAACTACGGTTTGCATATGGCATTCCTTGGTGTATTTCTTCCTCACATGCACATAATCCAAATGTGATAAATGTATCTTTCCACTGTAAGCAATTATGGCAAAACAGGAGATCAAGATGAAAGATGATGAAGATTAAATGCACAGTCTTATGCATATTTAGACCAAAACAGAAAGCAAAAAAACCCAACAACAACCCAAAGAAACAAAATTCCCAACATTCTGTAGTAATCATGCTGTCTGGGAGTTGTAGGACTTTTTTCCTATCTAAATGTGTATAAGATTATACCCCAATGATTCTAGCTATTCTCTTGAATCCATGAAGTTAAAATGACTTTCAGAGCTGAAACTGTTTGTTCATTTAAAACACTGGTGTCCTGTCTGTCTGTCTGTCTCATGTATTAAAACATTTTTTAAAATTTATAACATGTATAAAAACATTTGTAGCTTGCAGAACAAGAATTTGTAAGTGTTACAAAAATACAAACTGCACCCAAAAGGGCAGAACAACGATGTCAGCATGTTTAGCATTTCAAAAACATTGGGTGAATAAAATGGTCAGCTTTTGGTGCCTAAACATCATTCAGCTCTTTGTCTCCCTTTGGAAGGGTGTGTGCTTGTCCACCATGTGGCAGAAGATGGCCTAAGACGATTGTGCATGTTATTGTTGGAGAAATTGGTCATTTGGAAAGATATCCCTTTCTTCTTGCCTGTATAAATTCTCAGTGGGCTAATGAATTAATGTAGAAGTTGTGGGCAATTATGGAAATAAATTTATTAAATGAATCCCATTGACTGTTTGGAATGATGACAGGCAGCCCCCGTTTGCTGGCTTGCAACCCACTTTGCCCATGAGGCAGGAGACGGTGCGGTCAGGGCTTCTCCTCCGTGTCCCTCCCTGGACCCTTTTCTGCTCCCTCTCCAACCTATTGTAGAGAACAGGATTTCAGGTGTGCCCAACTGCAGGCATGAGAGGGGAATGGAGAAAAAGATCAGAGCAGGCAGGCTGCTGACTTTCCTTTTTTTATCAGGGGATGAAAAGTATAACCTTGGCCACAGGGGGCATTAGGGAAACATGAATGGAGACCCTTACTGGGGCTGGTGCTATCTGAAGAGCTATTCTAGGGGACCCAGTCAGTCTTATTCGTATTTTTTATATCTTTGATCTCATAAAGAGTTTTGATGCTTTTCCCTCCTCAGCTACATGTGCAGTTTTCCAACTGGCAACAAGGACTACCTTTCAGGAAAATCTAGTCTAAAGCCCTGGGGTTATTTGACATCATTCTCCATTTCTTGAGATTTCTAGCCCAAGTATTACGGTTATAGTTACGTGTGTACAATGACAGCATGTATGCACATCTAAGCCTCAATTTTTTCCCCAGGTATAAATACAGGCTTGAGGGATTCATACAGGTGTGGGAAAAAGTAGATCCAGGTGCAGGGGTGTGTCAGATTAACACAGATGGAGTTAAGCTGTCACCTCCGGCCCAGGAACAGATGCCTGCATTCTAATTATGCAAGCTTTGTATTAATATTATTTGGATTTTAGCTGCCAACATTTATGAGCTTCCTGAAGTGATATTTGTAATCTGAAATTAGCTGTGTTGAAATTTACTTTAAATGCTTACCTTCCGTTTTCTAACTGGGCAAATGGTTATGTTGCAAAATATTAGAGTGTGTTCTTTTCAGGTTTTATCTAGGAGCATTTGCAAGAGAAAAAGTGCCTCATGTCAGGAGCAGGCCAGTCAACAATAAGAACATCTCTGTTGGAACAGACAAAACAGTTATCTAGTCCTTCTACTAGTTTGTTACAACAGTCAACTAGGTGCTAATCGGAAGCCCACAAGCTGGACCTGAGAGCAGTAGGTGTTGTTCAGCAGCTGCTATTCAGAGGTATGCCCCCTCTGATTTTGGTAGCTTGATAACCTTTTTCTCTATGAATTTCTATGAATCTCTTTTTAAGGTCATTCAGTTTAGCCACCATTACGCCTTGTGGTAGAGAATCCCATAATCTAACTGCACTGCTTGAAGAGGAACTTCCTTTTATCTGTCCTGAGCTTTTCACAATTCTGCTTCATTGAATAAACCCATATGAAAGAAAGAAAAAATATCTTCCTGCTCACTTCCTGCATATCATGTGTGATTCTGTATTCCACTATCATATCCCACATTTACTTAATTTATTTTGAAAGCAAGTGATGTATAAGGAATGCTACCAAGGGAAGCCATCCAGAAACTGTACTGCTTACAGTTTGAGGAAGGTATTTGGGACTGGCTGGCTTCAAGTTTGAGAAGGAACAAAGAAATTAAAAGAATTGCTAGATCTAGGAGTGCCAGACCAGGAGGGGGGAAAATGGAGATCAGGGCAGACATCAGCAAATAGCACATGCTGATCCTGGCCCTGGAAGTATTGTTGGCTCGTTTTGCTTAGAAAAGAGGAAGCAAAGGGAGGCACATGACATGTAGGAAGTGGACAGGGAGAATCTTTGTCCCTCTTTCATAATACTAGAACTCAGGGTCAATCCATGAAATGGTCCGATGTGAGATTTAGGTTAGAAAGAAGTAATTATGCCATCATGCAACATGTAGTTAAACTATGGAATTCTCTTCCACAAGATGTCGTGATAGCCACTAATTCTACGGCTTTAAAAGGAGATTGGACAAAGTCATGCTGAATGGGGCTGTCCGTGATTACCAGTCCTGATGGCTAAGGCTTAGCGTACAAGAGATTAGTGATGACTCAGGCTGGCTATGATCATTTTTGCTGTCCATTAACCCAGATCATAGGATTTGTCATTCATCGTTTTCTAAGTTTGGTCTGATTCATCAACAATTAGTTCACCTGTGTCTTGTCTCCCCTCTTTCACCCTCATCACAGCCAGACAACCATTAAGCAAAACCTAGTTTGGCTGAAAAAGAAAGCTTTGTGCAGTTGCCAAAGCTTTTCCTTGAGTTATGTGCAAGAGAGTAAATATAATTCATTCATATGAAGAACCATAAAGAAGATCTCCAAGAAGCCCATGGATTCTATTTGTATTTCTGTTTGTAAAATAAAGGGTGGGAAATGTTAAATGTGCAATACCTTCTGTCAGAAACCATATTTAAATTCCATATGTATGTTCATTGTTATTGTAAATTGAAAAAGGAAAGCAAGAACTGAGTGCTGCCAACAAAATGAAGAAAACTCACTCCAGGTTTTTGACAGACTTTACCCAGTATCCTAAAGTTTAAGCTACACGTTATTGGGAATTTGTAGCTGCCACCTACTGTATCTTGGAAATGTTAAGGAAGGCATAGGATGTGACAACATGGAGCTTAGTTCCTACCCCCAATTCATTTAATTGTCTGTGCCTTTCTTTGGCTCTGCCTTGGTTCACATGTCATGACTACCCATGGGTTGTTTAAATCATGACTGCAGAAGTGAGCAAACAAGCTGCCTGGCCACTCCTGCTTTGCTAAACAACTCAAGAACGCTCCATTCCTGGAATGCTTCTGTGACATCCAAATCTGGCACTCCAGGTTGTTTGAGGAAAGGCAACCCAAGTTTAACCCATGATTTGTTGTTGAGTTGGTACCCCATACTGATCTGTCCTTTCTCCCTAAAGTCTCTCTCTCCTTTCATGTAAATCAAGAAATAGTGCTCCCAGCATTTTACTCATCACTATCTACAGACACTGAGAAGGCTCTGCATACGCTTGACATTTGTCATGAACTAGCTTTCTGTCAGTCCCAGACTGAGTTGGTTCACAAAACAAAACTACCGCTCATCAAGTATGTGGACCACTCCAAAGGCAAGCCAGTTGGTCCCCAACGTCTCACGCTCTGGATCGTAGAGACAATTAAATTATCGTACCAGCTAGTGGAGTTGGACATGCCAGACTGCCCTAGAGCACATTCCACCAGGGCGATATCAACTTTGACAGCCCTCCGTGTGGGACTGCCGTTGGATGCATTGTGCACAGCAGCTACATGGTCAGCACCATCCACATTGTCCACCAGTATCGGCTTGATGTGAAAGCCGATACTGCTCCTTTGGTCAGGCTGTATTGTCACCTATTCTTCTGTAATGACACCTCCCATGTCCTTTCAGGGTATTCTTGCTAGTCACCCATATATGTGATGCACAGCGACAATGATGAAGGAAGGCAGGTTGCATACCTGTAACTGTTGTTCTTCAAGTGCTCATCTGGGCATTCACACAATTCACCTGCCGGCCCCGTGTTGGTGTTGCTGGTCAATTTTTCTGTCCGTTTGCCTGTTATTTACATAGCAATAGGACAGTTAGGGACCTAGACAAAGGGCATATGTTGGTCTCCAGGAACTGCTGGGAGCCCACCTATTTATATAACGGGGAGGTGGGGCAGGGCTCCCAGTAAACATTCTAAGCTTAGCTGGAGGAATCTTCCTGATCATGGCAGTGCGCAGGTACAGCACCCACATGTGTGAATGCACAGATGACCATGTGAAGAATGGCAGTTACAGGTATGCAACCTGCCTTTCCTAGGTTATTTGACCATGTGGAGACCATGTGGAAGCAGGCTAGTGGTTGGCAGTCAGAAGGATTGCTCTCACCTGCATGCACAGTTAATAAAGTGTGTGTTGTTAATTGCATACAAACCTGGTCTCTGAAAGCAATGGAGTGATAGTGTGAATTTTTAACAAGATGCTATCACAAGGCATTGTTTGTACATCATATACAAACTGGACTCAATTAGTACCACTCCACATATAACAAGATATGTTTCAACTGGTCTTTATAACTGACAGGATTTATATTCCCTTTCCCAAAATGGGCATTCAGCCATGTTCATTTCTTTGTCCCAGGAGCCATGGGTGTGAAGTGAATCTGTGGGCACTTAAGAGAGGCTGTACAGCTTCTCCAGCACTCCATCTTCAGACTGCTGCGACTCATACCCTGCAGCTTTGAACGTCATGCCCCTCAGCCAGACAAAATTTTCTGCAGAGCATGAAAGCTTACTCTTTGCTTTGTGACATTTTGAACCTAACCAGGAGAGATTTTGGACATGTGACAAGAGCTAAGATTATCACTGCCTCTCTCAAGGTCATCGCCATCTTGCACTGTTTCTCTTCCTTTCCCTTCTCTCCCTCCTCTTCTGTCAGCAGTGGCATGGGTGCGGTAATGATCTTGATAGGAAGAGTTGGTAGGAGGGGCTGGCCCTTTCTGCTTCTAGTGTCTGGCCTCCGACAGATTTCCTTTGAGGGAAAAATAAAGGTTCCTGCACCTGACTGAGAACTGGTCTGGGGACAGATATGTTGTAAAGGAATGTTAAACAGTGAAAACCTTGGCAACTCTTTATGCAGTTTGTTTTCCATATCATGCTGCCTCAGTCACATCAGGATTATTCTGTCTCAGGGTTATTCAAAGTAACTGTAGCAACCAAGAACTCACAGTGAAGCAAGCTGTTCTTTGCTGAAGGAAATGCAGCTTCATCTAAATTTTCCATAAAATCTGTCAGATCTTTTGCTATTGTTTTGACTGACTTTCTCTTTCTCTTAAACTCCTTCAATGGTAGATAGAAGACTTGTCTTAGCTTGTTAATTTCAATAGCTGTGTGAGTTGTTATCTGTTAGAATTATCAAGTTACAAATATTAATATAGAATGGAGTTTATCTTTTCAACAAAATGTCATAAGTACTTCGTGATAAATCTAGTATCTTTGGTCTATATATTTGTATTAAAAGATGAAAGATTCATAAGTGACACATTAGGTGAATTAATATATTATTTTACCAAGTTAACATTTTATATAATGCAGTAGCAGGGACTGTTTAAAATCTAATTAAATGTGTCCATGCATAATAAGTGCAATCTTTCTGAAGTTAAATGTTTTCAGCTCTCATCAATATCAGTGGTGATGATTTAAAAATGTGCTTAACTTTTCTATGGGTTGTTTGGATCATGTCCAATAGGTACATGCTGTCTCTTTTTTGTATCAGAAGAAAACCAAACTTTTGTATCAAAGGAAACCCAAAAAGTTCAACAAAACTATGCTCATTTTCCAGGGGCAGATCACAATATATGGAAAGTTTGATGACGTTCTTCAAGAAGATGCCGAATTTTACTTTGTTTACAGTGGCTCAAAGCAGAGGCACGTGGCTTTCGCTAAGTGCATTTCTGATAACACCCTTGAATCTGTTGTTCCAGGTAAGCTGCACTGTAGCTGCGTTGTGTTGGCTTGTTGTCTTTGAACTGCAATGTTTTTATTTTTGCAGAAGGTCATCAGTGAAGTTTGGTATTTTAATGGTTATCATCACAGAGACAGCCAAAAGGCAGCGAGGAAACTCCCAGAGAAGCAAGGGTTGTGGCTGCTTCACTGGCAGCACGCGCTCTGGGCTGAGGAGGTGACTGACCTCAGGCTGCTCCGTGAGCTTGGTGAAAGAGTGACTTTTTAACCCCAGTTCCCCAGTCTTTCTGGTATGACTTCCTACTCACTCTGTTCAGCTGGCTCTCAGTAATGGAATTGTTGCCTAAGATGTGGTAGCAACATTGCTACAGGAGACATTCTGGAGCAACATTGTTTTATTGCTCCTGTCCAGGGCCCCACATCATTTTTGGGGGCTATGAAAACCTTGCAGCATGGGAGGGAGCTGCACACCCAAGCCATGGCTCTTTCCCATAGCACAGCTAGTCAGGAAGCAAAGGGGCTTCACATGACATGTTAAGCCACACAGCTTGTTGAGCAAACCCAGTCTCAGAGTCTAGAAAGGGAGGAAAGGGTGCTCTCAGCGAGTTAACCCTTTCCTGTTTCTATGTCAGAATGATACTTCATCGGACATCCACTTTTCCACTCTTGAGGAAAGATTAGGAATATACAAATTAGAAAACTCTTTTGCACCTTCACAGTGTTGAGTATCTTATGTATATCATGTGGTGAGAATGCCAACTAAATCCATCTCACTTCTAGGATGCAACACAACAAAATGTGGAAAAGTCAAAATGTGGTGAATATTTTGCAAGTTATTCTTGTGTGCGTGTGTGTGAGAGAGACAGAGTGAGAGTGAGAAATACTCTGTGTGCATATCTCGGAAACAGTCTGAAACCTTCCTGAGTGTGTAAATTGCTAATCTTGCTCGCACTTTTTCAGCTCACAGAGAACAAGAAGATGTTTCAGTTTGTGTGGTCATGTACAAAGAAGAGGGCATGCTGGTGACTCTGGGATCTTCATCTGTTACTTACAAGCAGGACACAGCTGGCGAGTTAGCATGGTACCTTGTCAGCCAAGTGGATTGCCTCACTCCCTCCAGTCACCACACGCTTCTCCAGAGGCTTGGTTTAACTGCGGATGGTGTCCAGTTGGTGGATCATGATGCCATGCTGGCTGTGGCCCATGAAGAAATCCCACCTACTTGGAGCATTGTTGGGAGTAGCTCAAACAATGGTAAGTAATTCTCTTTTACTTGGATGGTGCCTTTTTCTCTGTAGTACATGTCAGATCTAAGCATGGGCTTGCATAATCATCACATCATAAGCCCATTGTAGCTTATTTAAGCCATGTTGGGTTGTGGCGTGTGCTTTTCAATAGTTAAACACACCTATGACTTGTACCATCCCTGTCTGGCAAGGGTGGGCTACTGGAGGAGCCACCCAGAACCCATGGGCTGTTTTAGGCTTGTGGGTGATTTGTTATTCATGCTGACAACCCATCCTCACCAGATTCAGACAACATTAGTCATGAGTGCAACCGAAATATTCAAAATGACTGGCTGCACATGCCTCAGCCCACTGTGGCTTAAAGCAGCCATGGTGAGCTCCCTGGGAGAGCAGGTGGACTGTGCTGAGTATATGAACAGAGAAAGTTCCGTAAGGACTCAGGGACAGCAATGCAGAAATGCAGAATTTCTATTCACGCTCAGCTATGAGTAGAAATGTTTTCATGGGTGAGGACATTTCTGTTGAGAGCCATGTTTCCTTAGGGACAGGGACTGCGTGCTGGCAGTGGGCATCAAGGTTCTTTCTCTCACCCTCTTGAATTCTGTATGGGAATGGCTCTTTCGAGTATGGGCTTGCATGGCACTAAACTAAGTGAGCAGAGCTGATTGTAGGCGAAATTTTGCGGTAACCTATAACAAAAGAAATTGTGTTCACTTTCGGTATAGCTAGTCTGGTAGTGCAAGATTACCCAGTTGATTTCAGAATAAGTAGCATTAATTTCCCTCCCCTTCTCTGTAACCAGGATCCCAAAGACCAAACCCTCAAAGTGCTTCCTTGGTTTTTAGAGCCAGCCTCTTAGACGAAGTAACCTTATGCAGTTGGACCTCCTTCCTTACCTAACATCTCACTCTTGGACTGGTCACACCCTTTCCCCCTCCTCCTCTTCACTCTGGATTCCCAAGTGCTTGGGAACACGACTCCCCCTCTGCCACACTGTTATTTGCACTCCTTCCACCCATGGCATTGCAGTCTCAGTTTCCACATCCCTCTCTTCATCTGAGTCAGCATCTATACCCATATTCCATGGAGCCCCCTCTGCAGAGCTAGTAGGCTGAATCCATGCAGTTGGTGGACTGAAGCCAGTGAGGGGAACAGCCAGAGTGAAAGGTAGGTAGGCTGTCCTTTTAACAATCTTCTATCCCCACTCTCCCTCCTCTTGCCTCATCAGATGCCAGGGGATGTAAAGAATGCCTTTTACAGAGATACTGATAATTTTCAGAGGGCTTTTGAACTTAGGCTGCAGACTGCATGAATTTGGGCTAAGAGCTGCATGTTGACAGGACTCCCCAACCTTTCTGAACCTTATTAGTGAGCCATTCTAATAAAATGGCTGCCATGGGTACCTTGCCCATTCATAAGATGGTGGCAATAATGGACAAGTCAGTCACAGAACATTGATTTCACTGCAGTTAAATTGGTGAGACTAAAAGAAAAGCAACTTCCCGGCAACCAAAGTACAAGGCAGAGGTAGGATTAGAGCTCCCAAATTCAAAATGGCTCTTCTGAACCCAAATAAAGATGGTGCTAGAGGGCAGCATTCTGCTTGGCTGCAGCTTAGTATTCCAGTTATTCCAGTTAAGTCAAGAAGGTCACAGAACCCGGCAGGCACCTGGCAGGGTCTTTGGATATATTGGGCACGTTGGAGACCCCAGCCCTAAGACCCTGGGTTGCTCACACCTGCACTTACGGATCTTGTTTCCTTGTGCAGATAGATCATTGGCATTTTTGTAATAACTCTAAAGTTACAAACATACGTGATGAACATGGGAGCAAAGAACACCATTTAGAGTATTGGGCTCAGAAACAGCATCAGTTACCTGAATAGCACATGCCTAAATCACCCAAAGGTAAAATCCTATGGAAGTGTAGAAAAAGGCCCACAACTCTTATTCCCAACTCCAAATTGTTTTCTCTGCAGCCCCATCTGGGCTTCTGAGGCATATCACAGTTAGTAGCAACTAGACATCAATGTTAGTTAAAGAAATATTTTATTTTTTATGTTTATTTATTGTATTTCTACACCACCCATCAGCCCGAAGGCTCCCTGGCAGGTTCACAAAATCAAAAGATACAATGATTAATTAAAACAGTCTTTATAAAATCACAATAATGCAATCAGTATTATTTTCAGACTAATGTGCAATCATCTTTAACCAACTTTAGAAACAGTGACTGACCATTAGTAGATATTAGACCATTAGCAAGGTATAAAATGTTACTAAAGAGTTGCCATATGTTCATAGTCTTTATAATAGGTTAGTGGCATGATAGCCATTTTCTTGTGATTTGACACCACATTCTCTTTTTTGTAAAGACAAACCTCATGGGTTCAGCAAATGACACAGTTCCTTTCCCTGCCAGCATTGCAAAGGATGAACTAGCCTTCAAAATGGAGTGGAAAATTATAAACTGCTGTTCTATATTGCGAAAGATAAGGAAATTCAGTTTGTGTGTGCAGCTCTACAAAGTCTTAGCAACTCCCCCCCTGTAATTCAGTCTCTCTCTCTCTTTCTCTCTCTCCCCCCCCCCGCCCCCGCCGCCCCATCTCTCAGCCTTTCATGAAAAATTCCTTTTGTGGACTTAATGGATTTAGTTCAGTTTATGAATAATGCTCATTAACAACTGAGGAATACTTTGACCCTTTGAACAGAATGAGGATGGTGGTAATAAAATATCTCCACTTTTATTCCTAGCAGGTGAAATCTTTTTATTAAAAAATGTTATTGCATAAACAAGAGGAATCATCTATTGTCTTTAAACAGTCAAAAGAATGCTGTAGTACAGGAATTCTGGTTGGCCAGCATTTTATTTTCTTCCCCATACAATCAGACACAGGTGGTTTTAGCCCTATTTGGCATGATTTGCGTTGAAAAAGCCATGTAATATAAATAAGATCCTGTGCATATATAAATAAGGCTATTTTTATTTTTGTTTTCTTGCTTGCTATAGAGGAAGCAGAATTTAAATTATTCTTTTACTTGTAAGTACTCTTTTGAGGTTACTTATAACAGTAAAGTTGAATTTGCATGATTAAAGTGGATTTGCATGATCCAGTGGGCCTTCCTTAAGCCATGGAGGGTCCTGGTGTGCTGGTGGAAGCATGTAAGTCAGCCTTTCACAACATGAGGTCCTTCAGATGTGTTTGACTACAACTTCCACCGTCTGCATCTAGAATGGCAATTGACCAAATGTGTTGCAGTCCAACACCATGTTAGGGAAGGCTGACTTGGCTGTTTATCAGGGTCTTTTGAACTTGGTCTGTGCTTTTGTAATGAAAGTCAGATCATACTCCCAAATGAAATGTGACATTTCTTCCCAGATAGCCCTTCATTAAGATTGTTGCATGGAACATAGTTACTTTATGCCACAAAACCTCTAAATGTTATTGGGCATGATGTGACTAGTAATGAGTAACATGGCTCTCTTTTCTCTCCATATGTATACTGCCTTACAATTCTTTCTTTACTTTTTAATTATTTATTAATTGCCTGGAGGTGTTGTACTCCTGTGTTGTTTAGTTTTGCTCAGATGTGAAACTGACCAGAATCTCAGGGAAAGTCTGGACAAGTTGCTTGCCAGTTTTGCTTCAGGAGGAGCTGCACAATTAAAGGCACAAGACAAAACCTAGGTGATAAGCCAAGCCCTGCCTCGTGGTGGCTTGCCATCGCAGGAGTGCTCTTGGCTTCTGCTAATCTTAACCAGAAGTGCTGAACATGGTCAAAGCTTGTGCAGTGCCTCCTGGTTTTGTGAGCCCTTTGTCTTTCCGTTTTTTCTTTATTTGATTGGAGGCCATGAATTTTCTGTAACACATGGCCTATAAAAGGGACTGAGAGGAGTGATTCAATCTTTCCTACTCATCCATCCTCAGGAAGATGTTCTCTTCCCAATCTGTGATGCCCATCAGGTGATTGGCATCTGGTAGGACTGTCAAGTAACGGGAGAGAAGGGGCTGGAAATGTTTGACTGTGTGAAAAGGCCCTTGAAGTTTTCATTGGCATCTTTGCAAAGCAAGACTGGCAGGTTTTTCATTCAAATACTATTTGGATGAGTTTTGTTTCTGAGCATTTGGGACTTTTCCAAGCTAAGTTCAGGTAATCTGCCTGGTAGTCTAAAATGGGGAAAAGCAAAGCAAAGCACTGATCTCAGGAAGGGGTGGGTCAAGATCATATTGTCCTACTGTATTTGGGTAGGACAACTTAAAAAGTGTCCAGTGTAACTGGCCAAGCAAAGGCAAGGTTAACTGGTTAGCAGGTGGAGAACCATTTTGGCTCTGGAGGCACAGTGCCACTGTGGATCCTACAGCTTTGGAATCAGAGTCTGAGTTGCAGCACACTGATTTAGAGCCTGCTTTAGATGTAGAATGCTTGAGGCCTGGGAGCTGTGCCTAGCTTCCCACTTGATCATAGCCTGAAGGAGGGAGATACACCCTATCAGGTACAGTTGCAGGATTCAGCCTTGAATGTTGCCTCTGGTTCACAGCCTGGCATTGTGAGAGCCAAGCAGGAGAAAGATTCTGCCGGGAAAGAGGCATCTTCCAGGTAAAGCATCATCAAAAGAGGGCAGAACAGAGATGCTCTCTCAGACATGGTGCTGCTTACAAGCCAGAAGTTCCTGTCAGGATAGATCAACAGAAGGAAAGTTCTAGCCACTCTTCCTCTTCAGTTCAGGCCGTTCAGAGGACTAAGCCTTTGCTGAGAATGTCTCAATTGTCTGGAATTCTTGCCTGGACTTGTTGTGAGCTCTTGTCTGCATCATTCAAACTCTGACTTGTACTGTATGTGGATACTAGCCTCAGACCTTTCTCTTGAACACAGTAATGTGCTGGAGCCTCTGCCTTGGCTTTTTGACTGATGCCTTGGTTGCTTGATAAACTTTGCCACCAGGTCTGGAAAGCTGGCATTTGTAATATGACCTCCTGCAATAAAATTTGGTGTTACTAGTATTTGT